TCTGTTTTAACAGAATTTTAAAATGATTGATGAACTGATAATTCACAATGGAAGGAATTTCAGTGAAGTTTACATATTTTGCTGTCTCATCACACTTTTCTGAAACCGTATTAAACTGTGGCTTTTGTTTCATACCATACCATAATAGTAACATGTACATGAATCTTAGTCACAGAAAGCTCTACTACAAAGCTGCATACAATGTTTAATGTGTTTCATATTTGCAGGTCGTATTCTTGCAAAATGCTACTCTGAGAGAACCGATCATGTGAAACAACAACCACGTTAATTCACATGTGGGCATATACTGTATAACAATTTTAAAGCTTTTTGAGGTAACAGGTGATAGGTTGGGCTAAAAAAAACACCTACCTGTATATCTGGTTGCTTTTCACAATTTTGTCACAAATACAAATGTTGTTTCTGCACCGCAGTTCTGCACTAATTTGTAGTTTTAAATGAATATTCTGAAAATATTTAAGAAGCTGATTCTCCTTTATAATTATTTATAGATAATTTTCCCCACCAAACTAAGACTGAATGTGAAGAGAAGGTAAGTGTGACAACCTACCTAGCTGTGACAATGCAGATTCATAGTATTAAGTATATTTGTTCATTTTTGTGCATTCTAGGTGTTTTCTGTTGGTGAATAGTTAAAGTTAGTCGCTGCACGTACTGTATAGTCTTGGTACTGGTCATTGGTACTGTACTGTCTTGGTCATAATGACTCATTGTAATCAGATTCATTTAATTTTTTTAAGGCTTCATACTGCAATAATGGAACAATTAAAGTTTTCAAAGAAAGGAGTGTGCTGCAGTGCTGTGTTGCTGACAGCAGTGCCCTGTGCTGCAGTAATATGTTGCTGTAATATCTTAGGGAGCCAGCATGGATGATGTCCAGTATGCTGCCCTGGAGCTCTCTGCCAAACCTTCCCAGAAGAAACAGAATAACCGGAAGAAGAGAGTGAAGGACATGGATGTTATTTACTCTGACATCAGCCATTCTCAGCCTCACAGGAGCCGCATGGAGGCCTGAGGAGCAACCAAGCCTGTGAGCCAAGGAATTCACCTGGTCAGGTTCAGTCTTTGTCTGGATGGAGTTTGCATGCTTGCTCTGATTTCCTTCCACTTACAAAGAGACAACTTTTTAACTGGATAGAAGGTACTGGATCTGTGGTTCATTGCGAACTTTATGCTACTGTACTTTTTCCAGTTCCTAATAAACTCCAGTTAATTTAAATTCTTTTTTGCTCTAGCGGTGTCTTAGTTTACACATTTTGCATTGTAGCAGAGACCCAATTATTTGCCCACTGATGTACGACAGTAAATCACAGAACAGTCTCATACACCAATCAATCATGTGTTATCAAAAAGCCATGTTCCCAGCTGAGGTTTTTAACAAACTCATCTAGATTTTTGTCAAACCCGTGAGTTTTAAGTGTTGCTTCGCAAATTTTACCAGTGTTTTGGATATAAACATCCAAAATATACTGTAGGTAAGTTTTAAACTTTTAGAAATACATTATCTTTTTGGGAATAAATACTTTACTGGTTGCAGTTTTACATTACTCTATATAATATATAATGGCAACAGATATTAATCAGCTTTGGCCATTTCACAGTGATGTGTGAGAATCGTCTAAAGAGATTTCTAATTTTGCTTTTTGTGCATTTAAAGTCAATATTAGCAGCCATGGATAGCTATTTTGACTACTTCAGTGTGGCATAGACAATTTTGACTAGTTCTAACTTGCTTATGTGTATATAATTTATACACACAAAAGGCCAAATAAGACATCTGTGAAATCAGTTCTCTCTGTTATGAAACTATCATTTAATATATTAATACTGTTCATGTACTGTGCTGTTCAAAACATCACTATTTGTTTTGTGTGGTTTGAGAAAAAAATGAAAGAAAATTTGTAAATAACACTGTGGCATGAAACTAAAGAAAATACATTTTGTGCACCATCAATATAATAATTTAATACTTAAATTATTTGCAAGTACTTATAAATGAAATTGGATAAATCTCTTAGATTACTCCAAAGTTTTATTAAACTATTTAATACTATACAAACATTTTAGAATGTATTATAACATTTTGAAATAATCAAATATTTCATAAATACCAGTCTACTTGTTTTGTTCCTGAATGTAAATTAGTCCTATCCTATATCTCGTGTTCGTTAAATTCAGGTTTTAGTTTCATTAAATAAATGAGTAATTGAAGAGACTCTTATGCTTTCTATTTCATAACATATGCAGCCCTGTTCAAGGTTTTGTTCGCTTTGGTAATTACGTTGCATATTTCAATTGTGTTCTTTTAAGATGGATTTTCTTCTATGTGTAATTGCTTTTTTTTTTAAAAAAGTACTGACCATGCAAATGTAATAGTCAGGATAAAACTGAAATAAGGACACTAGTCAGAGTAAAGAGGAGGTTCATTTGACAGTGAAATATAGGCAATTCTTCATATTGCATATACTGTAGATCTAAAACACTAGAGGGTCCTACATTACAAATTCTTTGATTCAAAAAGATTTTTGAATCAATATGTTAATAACCCATCTACCAAAAGGGCAGGATGAGAAAAGATTTTAAGGGCGTTATATCCCGATAGTAGGCTTTCTGCTGTTTGTTTTACTTCTCTAATTGTGAAAACATCTATTAAAATATACTTATACATATATATATATTAGCTCAGGTGGGTAGCTGCGTCAGCATGCGTAGGCTGCAAAGGAACAAGTAATAGGTTTATTCCATGTGTGACACCTGAAGAAGGCTCCACGGCCGAAACGTTGTGTTCTCTTTCTTCTTTTTTTCAGCATGGAATAAACCTATTACTTGTTCCTATATATATTAGCTGACATTATGACTGTATAATGAACAGTAGTTCAGTTCTAATCTAACACTGCAACACATATTAGACTGTTCTTATATAAAAAAAAGAGGAAAAATGTGATTAAAAGTCTGTTTAGCAGATCAGGTCTTCTTAAAACTGCATTTCCATGCTTTATGTAACTAAATAATTGCCTATAATAGTAACTAGAGCCAAGAAACAGGATGTCATACCACTGATATGTGACATTTCTGTGGTTTCATACCTCAGAATGTGACCCAGCATATACAGACCTGTCTCATGCTGATTTTCCGTGACAGGTTGTGAAAACTGTATTAATAATAGATGTTGTCTGTCTTGTGGGCTATCACATCTATAGAAAAACACTATTTTCGTTAGTATCTATGTTACGCTTTTGGGCTGCTATTGACCTTAAAACAATAAATTACTGTCCTTGTGCTATTTGTTGTTAATGTGAGTCTCTCTAGACTGCAGAAAATAGTACTAATGTTTTATTCTGTGTTTATGGAGCACAGAAGGAAATCAAAACATATTTGAATAGCTTTTCAACTATTGAAAAGCCTCCTTTTGCTGTGGTGCCCAACATCATTTGTAGTTAATAATAATAATTTACTCTTATATAGTGCTTTTCTGGACACTCCACTCAAAGCGCTTTACAGGTAATAGGGACTCCCCTCCACTACCACCACCTGGATGATGTGACGGCAGCCATAGTGCACCAGTACACTCACCACATGTTTATTATTGGGGGGCCATGATTGGTAAAGGCCAACTGGAAATTTGGCCAGGACGCTGGGGTAACAGCCCTACTCTTTTTGAGAAACATCCTGGGATTTTGACCACAGAGAGTCAGGACCTCGGTTTTACATTTCAACTGAAGGACAGCACCTTTTTATAGTATAGTGTCCCAGTCAGTGTCCTACACAGACTGCAAGCTGAGCGCCCCCTGCTGGCTACACTAACATCTCTTCTAGCAGCAGCCTTCCCATCCATATTTCCCAGGAGGTCTCCCATCCAGGAACTGAGCAGGCTCACACCTGCTGAAATTCAGTGTGCTGCCAGCTGTACGTTGGAGGATGAGGTAAAGGTAAAACATTGACAGTAACTGAGAAGCTCTAAACATGTACATGAGAACCTAAGAACATTTACCCATGTTCTAATCACTTCAGAGATCCATTAGAGATGAAGTCCAGAGTCTTAATCTCTTAATTGCCCTGTGATGGCCGAAGATGCTGGAGCCTTACCCGGCATGCAACAGACATTAGGCACAGGGTACACCCTTGACATGATGCCAGGCCACACAGGGCAATTGAGAGATTAATTGGAACCAAAATTTAGGAGACTCTGGTCTTCATCTCTAATGGATGAGCATTTTCCTGACTTGCTTAACTGACCAATGCCTACAGGTTACGAAGGGTGTGAGACTAAATGGACTTGGTCTGTAAGACTAAATGGACTCGGTTTCTCCGGGACCGCGGATGGAGACCGCCGTCTCTAACGGCGGCACTTTCACCACTCGGTGACTGAGAAGCGATTACATCACAGCTTGAACCTAGAACTACATTACCCAGATCGCATTGCAGGAGACTGTCACGGGATTGACAGTGAATCATTCCCGTCCCTCCCACAGACACACCCGCCTGTTATGTAGCCGGTTTTGTAAGCGATTGCTATCACACAAACAGGCGAGCTTTCCGGATTCAAGGGTGTCCAGATACTGACAAATAGTCCCCAGCAGCGAACTCGCACACCGAGACACACGAACACTCACCGAGATGGTGTGACTTCTCATTAAAGGTAGACGCTTCTGTTACAGCTTTTGCACAATTTCTGTTCGGTTTCTCGTTTTGTAATTCTCCCCACCCATGTTTAAAAAGATCTAACGTTGGGATATGTGGCGGTCCATTCCGAAATGGTTCTCGATGTCCAGAACGTTACAATACCGCCAGGAAATGGATTTAAAACAGATCCGTTTTCGGTTATACTAGAATAATTTCGGTTTGGCGTTTGGCAATGACAGGTCTCGTATCCTGGATTCAACACCTGAACAATCCGCAGTGGGAGCTTCTTAGCTGAGGGGTTTGTCAGTTGTTCGGTTAAATGCTAAAGATTTTTTACTTGTTTTTTATTAACATTGCTCTGTTATTGTATTCATTGTTTTATTTATCCTTTTCTTTTCCCACTTAGTCCAATAGATCGCAGTCTTTGGGTTTTTCCCGGGGTACCAGGTTCTGTACGACACCGGGGCGGGGGGACAATTGTCGGTTGGTTTTAAGTTTGTAATGACAAGCACGATAAGGATATACTGTACTTGAGTAATATTTTCTGTTTTAGACGGTATCAAATTTTCGTTCAGTACTTAAAACTTTACAAGGCGTTTCTTATGGGTATCAAGCCCGCACCGGTTCCTGAGTGTCACATGGAGGTGTGAAATCTGAGCTAACCGGCTGGACTTCAGCAGAAGGAAGCAAAACACGGTGGTTGTGAGCCTGATTAAGTGTTTTCAACCTGCCTGTCACCTTGTAGAGCTGTTTAGAGATTAGCGTGCTGGGATGCTTAGGTTGTTTGTTTTTTTTAGGGTAACCAACACATTATCAGTGAGGGTTCAGTCCTGCTGAATGGCCACCCATGACAGACGTTGTGACTGTTTTAAGCTACAGTGACTATCCAAAGTATCCACTGCCTTGGACATGTTCACATTCAATTGTGTTACAATATGGAATCGTCGCGTATTTAATTGGGATTTTTGTTTTACCACTGATAGAAACACTCTATGATGTCAGAGTGAAAAAATTCTACAGATCCTCCTAAATCAAGCAGAAATACGAAACAGAAAAGAACTGCTTGCGTAGGTGTTCACGCTGCCTTTGGTCATGTTTGGGTAGAAGCTCCTTTGGCAGAAATGATTGACAGCAGCGAGTCTTGACAGTCTCGGTACACGTCCGCCCAGGACTTGGGTCTGATCGCCGGGGAGAGTCCTGTCGCAGTATTTCTGTAGAACAACATGAGCCCATTTGCCAAACCAGACGCCAAAATCCTTCCTTCCTCCTCCAGCCTGCAGCTTCGTGGCCAGGAAAATCGCGGCCTCCATCGCAGAGAGGGAGCAGCCGGAGAAGCCCGATTTTTCGTCATGTAAGCCTGCGAAAGGTGAGTGTGCTGCTCCCTACTGGTGAGTGTGTGTATGTGGTTTCACGAAGGGACACATGAGCACACCAGTGAGGAGACAAATGTCACATTGTTCAACATTTAACACAGTTTTGTACATTTTTTCTCTCTTCCTAACTTCAAAGCAACCAAATGTAATGACTGTATGAAACTAATCTAAGAGATTCAATTAACCTTTGGTCTCCGTATTCTGTATAGACACAGAAGATAAAAATATCTTTATCTTTTTCTATTGCATCATAAAGTAATTCCCTTTCATTTCACAATACAATGTCTGATTTGACATTGAAAGAAGGAAATACATTTGCCAAAGCCAGCTTTGGGTTTATTAACTTTATTAAAGAGGGTTCAGTGTTGACCTCAGTAGGTCGTTTATTTGACTTTGTCTCAATCTTAACAATCCAGAACACGTCACTGGGTTACATCGTAGATCAACTTAATTGATGAGACAGTAAAAAGTCTAGAAACTTGTTTTCATCCTTTTAACTCACCTATGTAAAACTATAAACAGTCAGATCTGCAGCCACAACTGTAAGCAGAACTTTTTGCACACACATATCAATACATCCACTAATAAAGTAGGTCCCCACTGAATACTTTTCAAAATTACACTAGGAGTTAGGGCAGAGTCAATCTTTGGCTCCTTAAATTGAATACAGTTATTGCCCCAAGTATTCCTGATGGGATCTTTTTTGTACAAGATGTAATTCAAATGGGAATTATTTAGCCCGATTTTTCATGTAAACCAGCTATGAGTGAGTTTGCTGCTCCCTTCTGGTGAGCGTGTGTATGTGGCTTCATGAAGGGATACGTTAACACAATTTGACTGTTGGACACCAGAGCACACAAGACTTCCTAACGTCAGTGCAACCAGATGTAAGGATTTTCTTTTGTAGAAAACTAATCTCAAGAATTTAGAATCAACAGCTCTTTGTTGTTGAGGTTTTGTTTCACAGGTCTGGTATCAATTGCAGATCGCATGCAATTCTTAAATTACTATTAATGGTTCACGTTTTACACTTTTTTATGATATAACCCTGATAAGAACATATTCTCCTTTACAATGATGACCTAGATTATGCCTATTTATATGTCAGGGCACCTGCTGAAGCAACTGGAGTGAAATACAGTGCAGAAGAAGTTGACTTAGTGTCTGAAAATATTCAGCATAAGAACTTAAGGTTATTTTCAGAATGCTGCTCAGGGACAAACCAATAGAAATACTTTTTTTTTAAATTGTTTGTCACTTGTGTGCTCACAGCTGTGTTGTTTCATGTGTCCTCAGGTGAGAAACGGGAGGGGTCGGCGTCGGAGCAGGCAGCGGCGATGTTGACCTCTGACCCAGACAACAGCCCCGCATCTAGAGAGACAGCCGTGCAGAAGTGCGGTTCCTGAGGTTAAAGGTCACACTGGCTGTGGAGCTGGGAAATGGGGGGAGAGTCGGACATCTGTGCCAACCACAAAGTACTGACCTCTGTCTGACAACATCTGGATAACATCATAGGCTTGTAGCCCTGATCTCATGCGAGAATTTTAAAATCCCACATTAAAAATAAAATAATTTCCATGACCCAACTAAACTTTTTATGACCCAAATAAGGCATAACCACCGGAACTTTCTTACACCATGTCGGACTGTGTCACTGAAGTGGCACAGCTCCACATGGAGAATAAACCATAATGGTCATATACGCTGAGGAATAATTTGGTCCCCAACTTCAGTTCCCCCCACTTTCTCCACAGCACATTGTGTTTATGCCCTTTGACCTCTGTGCTATACAGCAGTGGGTGACGGTCTTGCTCACCAACTCCTCCCTGCAGGAGATGGGCAGGCCTGAAGGATTCTGCTGTAGCTGAAAGAAAAACAATAAAGCCTTTTGTCTCACGGGCTCGGTGTCAACTTTTTATTCCTTATTATCACGGTATAAGGGAAGCTTATTAGTTAACCATTACCAGAGTAAGGATTGAGTTTGTCTGACAAAATACCTGTCATGAAAACCCGAGTTTTTCTGGTAGAGGGCTGAAGTACGCCACACAGAATTAAGACCTGGGAGGTCAGTCAGTGTTTTAATGTATCTATATCTTCAGAATATGTGTAACTTATACGATGCATGACTTCCTGGATAAATATTCTAATATGTTGCACAGCCTCCATGTGAGAAATCCCGTCACGCCGAAACATGACTGAAAGGAAAAGTGAGAATCTCCTGGAAAAGCAGGAGCAAAAATCATGATTTCCCCATTGGTTTCCAAAGGTAACCATGCTACAAGGAGTTTTCCAAAAGGAATATCTTCTGCCATGGAACAAGTAATAGGTTTATTCCGTGCTGAAAATAGAAGAAAGAAAACAATGTTTCGGCCGTGGAGCCTTCAGGTGTGAGAAAGACACTAGGACACTATTACACTTGTGAACAATATAGTGGGATCATTAGTCACCAAGCAGTCCAGGACCTTGGTTTAACAGATCAATGATGCCTCCCTCAGCACAGTCACCATGCTCCGGTGCTGGTAATGGTAAATTATTTTCCTGAAACAAGGGCAACATCTACTAGTCCACTAACACTACTTCTGGGAGCAACCTGGTTTTCCTCAGAGATCTGCCATTCCAGTACTGCGCAGGAGCAGCCTGTTGTAGCTTCTAAGGTCTGAGGAGATCAGGTTACAGGTTATTAACACGGCTGGCAGGGAGCAATGTGGGACACAATCCTGTACTCCTGGATCCTCATGGTGCATTGCTTTGGCAGGACTGGATAGCAAACAGAGCTACCCAAGAACTGTGGCTCTCTCACAACACTGTGATCCGCCCATTATGACCCCAAACTCACTGTGTTTTTCTAACATTTGCATCTACAGAAAAGTGTGCATTCTATCTTCATGTAAATCTGGTTGAAGGTAAGATTTTTCCCCATGTATGAATTGGGGACTAAAGCTCCAGTGCCCTCCTCCTTTGGGGATCAATTCAGCTATAAAGCAACAACACAATCAGTTCTGTCAGATTACTTGTTTCAGGGTCCAGGGTTTGGAAAATGTGTATCAAATGGTAGCTCTGAAGTGAAAAACAAGTGACTTTGGATAAATGTCTCAGCCAAATAAATAATTGTAATTGATTTATTGGAAGGTGCAAAGTGCTGTAATGGTAGACAGGTTGACTTCTACTTCTCATAACCAACAGTTCCCAACTGTTCCTGGACTGGAGAACTCCTCTGTCTACTGGGTTTTGTTCCTGGACGTTAAATCTCCACAGTTAATTGATCTGCTTCCTTCTTTAGACTACTGGTTTGCTTGTTTCTGCTCTTAGTCCTGAGTGCCAAGTGTATCCCACTTCAAAGGCTCTGTCTCAAACAACTTCAGTGTAGAGGGCTGTAAAAACTCTTGGCTCACCCTTGTTTCTGCTTAAAAACTGTTAATCGGACCTCAATTTCTGAACAGGCAGTTGGGAGTAATAGTTTATCAAACGCTGCTGTGGATTTTGTTTTCTTGCTAGGGAAGTCCCATCAGTTACATTTCAGGCAACACATCTGAAATCTGCAACTGCTACAGGATTGACTCCAATTACAAATGCTATTTTTTAAAAAAGCAGAAAACAACTTTAAGAATGAAAAGGTGAGCTCGATGTCCCGTGATTAAGAATATGAATAAACCAACACTCCTCTTCATCACTGATGCGCCGCGAACTCCCACTCTGTGACGACAAGTGTGCGCGTCGGACGTCTGTCATCGGAGTGCGTCTGTTATTGTTGGCAGAGAGTGGTGTGGCACAATGTCTGAAGTCAGCGTGCCTGTCAAAACTGAAGAGAGGTAAGATGTAATTCAGAGAAGTATTCGTACTCGTTTAGCTATTGTCTGTCATAGCGAGTGCTGTATGGAAACTGGGGCAACCAGCACTGACGCAAAAAACGGTGAGACTCACGGTGCCATCGAAAAGTACCAGCGGAATTAAGTGATATCTTTAAATTGTTTTGCTTTATTGTTTACATACATCCTGTTTACTGATCTAGCTCTAGAAGTGGCTGGGTGGTGTTTCCTGTCATTGACTGCGGAAAGCTTGATTTCTAATAAGGCGATGTGCTTATCGGACGCAAAAATGTATTGCTCATGTCCTTGCACTGAAAAGTGTTATCGGTTTTCCTGTGGTTAAATCGCACGTCTTGACTGCATTTCGGTTAAGGGGTATACGTGCCTCTAATCGCAGCAGGGACTCATTCAAACTACACCCGAGATCAGCTTGTAAACATCACCCGCATGAGTAATCGGAAAACGGATTCAAACGCAGTTGACTGTGCATCACAGTCTCGCTTTGGCGGTGTCCTTAAGATCCCAGCACCAGAGCATCCCTCAACACCCTTTACAACGGGACACCTAGTGTTCAACTCATAATAATTTTTGCTACTTTGAAACCATTTTTGGTGAAGAAAGAACAGTAAGGAAGATATAACAGATATCTTCCAGGTGGATGCTGCACATTGGTGGTTGTAAAGCGCTTTGAGTGGAGTGTCAAGAAAAGCGCTATATACGTTTAAGGAATTATTATTATTATACCGCGTTAAGAACATTGGAGCTCCAAGACTAATAAAACAGGCAAATGAGCAAGATGTAAAATTTTTTTGGGAAATGAAGCATAAGACCATGCAGTTTATTTTTGCTATCAAAATCCAACCTACCTGTACTTCTTTATATAAAAGTCATTTCTGCAAATGAATGCAACCAAGCGTGATCTGAAGATATAAATAATTTTTGCTTTTGACAATAATGTGTCAAAACTCATTATTATTATTATTATTATTATTATTATTAATGTGATTTGAATAGTGAGTGATGAGAGTAATAATACTGAAAACTAATACTCTGCAAACGAACGCATGCTGCTGCTGTGTCCACTAGGTGGCGTTGTGACTCCACAGCACACGGAAGGTCATTGGGCCGCAACACTCAGTCCTCATCCTTTTTAGTTTTTTGTGCCCATGTCGGGCAGAGCATTGTTTTTTTTTTTTTTGCTCGAAAAAGCCATTGAAGACAGACTTGCAGTAAAGATGCATGGCACAATTTTCCACTTTTGTCAAAAGCCTATCTAATTTATTGTGGAATTATTAGATGCCTGTAAGTGGAAAATGCAGACCAGTGTGTTATTGCAGCACAAGCAGATAGCTGCTGAAAGGCACAGTTTGACATGAGTTAACTTGTATGCAGCTCATTCCCCTCTCGGATCAGCACAGTGATCCAGGCAGGCCTCCTGAATTCAGGTAGATGCACAGTTCATGCTCAGTTAAAAACAGTTTCTACCCCAGTATTGACTACAAAAACTGAAATGAGTCCTAAAGTCTTCACGCAGTGTTAGTTGGAGTTTAGTTTAGTCTGTCACTGTACAGCATTCCAGTTCAGGTTTGATTGTACCTTATATACGACACACAACATTTTACTAATGTAAATCTCAAAGCAGAGGTACCGTACATTAACCACTGCAATTACTAACGGATCACAAAAGATCCTCCTCTCGCAATCAAATTGGTGATCAAAAATAAAACATCCTGTTTAACTGCAAGTATCTGTTGAACTAACGATGTTCTCTCTTAACAGCCTGTATCGGCCTGTCTTCCATAGGTACGCTTCTTCCCACCCCAGAATGGGATCTGTATTCATGTTAGATTGGCATCAAATAGGGGCGGAGCAGTGGCTCTGTGGCTCAGGATCTGCGCCTGTAGCTGGAAGCTTGCTGGTACAAATCACGTGGCTGGGCAGAGGAATCCTCCTCCGTTAGGCCCCTGAGCAAGGCCCTTCACCCCAGTTGCTCCAGGGGTGCTGTGCAATGGCTGATTCTGTGCTCTGACTCCAAGCTTCTCTCCCTGTCTGTGTGTCTCATGGAGAGCAAACTGGGGTGTATGAAAAGACACATTCCCAATGCAAGAAATTGTACATGGCCAATAAAGTGATCTTATCTTATCTTAACTCTTTGTGCCCTGCTCCCAGGGGGGAACTGTGTGGCAGCGGGGCAGCAGATCCTGAGATGACGGATTTCGAGCGGGGACTGATCGTGGGCTACCATGAAGGTGGGAAGACCTTGGCGGAAATCGTGGAGATCACGGGGCTGCCCAAACGCGCGGTGAAGAAATTCCTGGGAGACTGGAAGAGAGGAGCTGTTGATGTAAGAATGACAAGGCTGGGCAGTCTGCTTCAGTTCTGGCTTTGAAAAATGCATTCTGAATTGGACTGAACCTGGTCAGAGCTCTGCAGTCCTTATGGTCATGGCTTAAATATAATATGGTCTGTGGCTATGAACCCCTTAGCTTCAATAAGCAATATATTAACAACCCAAGTCTTCCAGATTCTGTACACTATAGCTTACATTGGGCCTTTTTATAGAACTGTATATGGTAGCCTACTTTTATAGTAGTTCAGGTGGGTAGCTGTGTCAGTATGCGTTGGTTGCAAAGGAACAAGTTATAGGTTTATTCCATGCTGAAAAGAGAAGAAAGAAAACACAACGCTTCTGCCGTGGAGCCGTCTTCAGGTGTGAGAAAGGCTCCACGGCTGAAACGTTGTGTTTCCTTTCTTCTCTTTTCAGCATGGAATAAACCTATTACTTATACTTTTATAGCATCCTGGTAAAACATGCCACCTTATTTTCTATTCGTATTGTTGTAAGTGAAGGGTTATGAAATTAGAGAATAAGCAGGCATTTAACTGAGCAGATAAATCAATAAGTAAAATAAATGATCATCACCACCCAGTTGTAAATGATTTTTCTAAGAATATACCCGAGCAGTTGATCTAGTTAGAGGCACATTAATTCTTTGTCCTGTGGCACAGCCTTGGTGAAAAGAGTAATAATTCAGGCACAGTTAAACAAATATTTATTAACAATGACAATGCACACACTATACTACACACCAC